CAATAATTGGAAGTTCACGTGCAGGCATAATATATTGATTCCAAGACTCACTAATATTATTAACCAATACATCGCATTTTGTTCGAGTAGAAAAGTATGCTCTGGCCCATTGATATTCTGAAATTTCTGCTAGCCACTCAAATGCATTTTTTGACTCACCAACCTTCGGATCAAACTTCAAAATTTCTCGCATCGCAGATTTATGTTCACTAATATTGTATGCTGATGCAGCTTTCCAAAACAGTCTCTTCAACTCTATGCCCTTGTACTTTGACTTGAAATTATTATACATATGTCTTAAACAAAATCAATGCTCAGTATTTGGAGCATGTTTTCCGATCGCCTCAATCAAACCCTTCTGTCTGTCACTTATAAATGCCCATTCTCCATCTCTAGATTCACCTAAATCTCTCAACAATAGATTCAGAAACCAATTCCAACTATCAAACTTTTCAATCTCCACAAACGCCATAGCAATTGGGTAAATGTTATCGTTACCATCCCTTCCAATGGCTGACAAAAATTGTCCCTTATACATACCTTTCGAAAAACATCCATCTAATCCAATTAAAGGCCTGCATCCTTCACGAAACCCATCATTTAAGGGCTTCAGACAATAATACGTCCTCTTTAGAACCGGAGGAGTCAAGCTTCTGTCAACCTTTAAAATACACGAACTCATAAGATTATACTTCACAACAGTGTGACAATAGTTATACAATCTGGTGTATTGTTCCTTTATGTCACCCTTTAAAAGTTCAATTGCATGTTTCTTGGCCCGATATACCTTGTACTTACTAACCTCCACATCCACATCTCTCCTTTTATTTCGAGTTAATGAGTCAATGGTTTCAGCAGGATTATATATTTCAATATCCTTTTACCTAGATATCTTTATATATATATATAAACAAACGAACAAACAAAAAATAATAAATGCAACCGTCAAGCAAAGCAAAGCTTGTATCAAATATTCAAATAAATACAATTAACACATATTTAAAAATTTCTTATAAATAAAAAATGTTAAAAATATTTAAAAATTAAATAAAATATAGACAAATATCATAGAACAAGTACTACAAGCAGTGATTGATCAAGCACTACTATAAGTAGAGAAACAAAAGCACTTTGGAAAAATTATTCAATACTCCCAGTGAAATAAATTTCTGCATTGGCCAAGCAGTGAAATAAATTTGTCAAGTAATACTAAAAAAATAAATAAAAAATTAAACTAAATCACATAAAAGGTGCAGAAGAAAATATTGAATCACTTTGGCATGTAAAAAGTTCAATATATAATGCAAATAGCAACAAGACTGTGTAAGAAAAGTACCTGAAATCAGCCTGTGAGTTTGTGGTCATGTGTGCACACGTGTGTTTTCCTTTGAGTGTCTTGATTTGAAATGTTTTTCCCCTCGTAATAGAAGACGCTCTGATTGACCAATCACACCATTTTTTACATTGCGCAGTCACTACATGTTTTTCCTTCTTTGAGTACTTCAAATCCCAACCTCTACGCACTGTCCAATCTTTTAAAACCTCTTTGTACTTCTCTTGTGAAGGAAACTTCATGCCAATAACCAAATCATGTTGGCCCATATGCGTTGACTCATCCCACTCTCCATATATCGGCAAAATATTTTCTTCATCTGATTGTTTTCCTCCTTCCAAATCACAATCTGAATTACAATCACTGTACCATTCAGCTCCTTCTTCCGTCATACTTGATTTTGCTCGCTCTTGTTTATCCTCTCGTTTATAATTTCTTCTTTCTCGCCTCAATGAACGCACTTCTTTCAACAATACTTTTATTTTTCCACAATTATCAGATGGTTGGTCAGTGAAGATATCATCATCATTTGGCCCATCAAACTCCTCATACATCCAAGAGGGATCATCAGATTCCAAATCCTTCCCAATACCATCATCAAAGTCACTGTCTGTAGATAACTCATTGCATCTTTTGTAAGGAAATTCTGAAGTTGTTATATGACTAAAAGCTCCAGTCATTCTCTCACCCACCTCGCCATCACGAACACCTCCCCATCCATGCTCCATCTCATCTCCGAAGCCACCGCTAACATCGCTTACAATTTTCTGTCCACCGACATTATCATCATTTAGTGTATATTCCTCCATACCTCCTTCTTGATTACCATATTCTCTCACATTGAGCGGTTCATATGTAGACTCCATCTCACAGGCACAATTTTCTAACAAATAAAAAATAATTATATTTTAAAAGCATATATATAGATAAATTATATAACCTCCATATTTGCATATAAAAAAAATTATGGGCAAGAAACTAAATCTAAAACCCACACTACCTTTCAGAGCATAAATTTCAAATCAAATTCAATTTTGTGTAATTTCAATCGAAAGTAAAAATCAAGGTCAACAACAACTAAAATTCACAAATTAATTTATAAATGATGTACGGTGCTCCCCCGAACGTTTAGAAATTTCATTTAGTGAACTTTGCGGCCCCTCCCCAAAATTAAACAAATCGTTTCCGGTGGTCCCCAAATCAAAAGATATTATTAAAAACTAGCAGTCACTCCTATCAAAACAGACGAAATATACAAAATTCTTTAAATAATTTAAAAAATCGAAGAACAAAAGCTATGAAACTCAGAAATCAACATTCATTGGGCAAGATATTACTTACCGAAAAAGAATGGTGAAGTTCGGAATTAGGGAGAACATCGGAAATTTGAGTGACGAAACGGTGAACTTGGCAGTGAACGACAAAAAATCGATAAAATCCTGCCCTAGGTTAAAGTTGGAGTGGAATATTGTGAGAATGTTGAAGTCGAAGTGGAATCTGGTGGGTTAGGGATATAACGATCCAAACGTGTAAATTATTAACGGTGTTAAGAGTTATATCTAATTGTGGAGCGCATGCAACCAAAATTAAATACAGTGTGTTTTAAAATGATTTTATTAATAGAGGGGATATTACGCTAATTTAATAAAACACAGGTAGGTAATATATAATTTACCCTGTTTTGTTTTGGGGTGGATCCAAATGACAAAAATCCAACAAATTTCAATATATTTTTACAATGATTTCATGTATCTTTTCCGATTTCTTTCAAATCTATTTGGATTAAGTTGTTAAGATCCGAAATCATCCAAAATCATCTACTCAAAGCTTCAATTTTTTATGTTCGAGGTTGCTTCAAAGTGAATCTTTGATGTTTGTGGCAACTCAAAGGTGGAGGACTGAGATTCACGACTTTCGGACAGGCTTTTTGGCAGGAACGTATCTACTAATAATTGAGTTGAGACATGTACCACTAGTGATTTTCTTCGTTAAAAAGTTTTCAATAATTTAATAATTATGCTACCACTAAAAAAATTTAGTTACCTCATTTAAAATTTAAAATGTCATTATTATCCCATTAAAATAATTAATTTAACGAAGATTTAATAATTTTAAAACCTAGACTAATTAAATTTTAAAACCTAAAATATCGTCATTGGTACCAAATAATTAAAATTATATCCCATTAAAATAATTAATTTATATTTTCAAAATATAAATATTGAAAAATAATATTATATTATTATTTTAATATATTTTACTTTTAATTTCTATATCGCCAGTAAAAAAAGTTTTCCAAATCCGCCTATGCTTTTTGGAGCGTTGTTGAGACCTCAATTGATTTCGATTCCTTAGCCAACGACATTGTTTAATTTTGGAGTGCAAATATTTAAAAGGAACTTGAAATCTCGCAAAATCTAAATTCGATTCCAACGAGCAATATAACCACCATTATCTATAAATATATTTATCACATCCAAATTATATTATCTTTTGAAAAAAAAAATTAATAATGATAATAAAATAAATAAATAAATGAAACACCAAAGCATGATGATTGTGTGGAGTCTCCATCATCATTGATCATTTAGGTGAAATTATTGAATCAATATGCAGACAAAAGCGCACGTCACTGTGCATGGCCTAACATTGAAAGCGCGACGTCTCCTTCAGTGGGTCTTATTGTAAACGCGACTTTTACAACGCCGTAATGGAAATGCGATTTTATTCTGTTAAAGGTGTTCAATATACAAATTCATCATTGCTTTATATCTCGATGAAAACCTTATCTTATCTTACATGGCTTTCTAATTTGTTTGTATCTTTAGGCCTATCATTAATAATAGTAATATTATTATTGTTATTATATAATGATTTATCAATGCTATCTTTTCAAGAATTAATAAATAAAATAAAACAAAATATTAGCTAAAAACAATCTTGAAATAATTCTCTTTAATATTGATGTACCTTTCTTGGCATTTAAATTAAGTATAAACAATACGTATGTTTGTCGAGTTTTGAATTCGGTTTTGAATACTAAAATTTTGTCCGATTTGATATAAATATAATTTAATTTGATATTTTTAATATAAAATTTAATTTTAATATAATATAATATAGTAAGTAAAGTATAAATATTTAATTGGATATTTTTGAATAAAAAATTTGAAAAATATAAAATTAAAATTAAAATATAAAACCCCGGCACACCCAAAGGCTTTGTTTACTTGTATTCTTAATTTTTTGTGCTTTAAATTGAGTTTATCATCATTACTATCGAGTATAATACACATAATTATTTAATCATATACTCCTTTGCCTCTTAAGCTTGTATTTACGTTTATTTGTTATAAAAAATATATTATTTCCGTCTGATAAAATATATAAATTTAATCAACGATTAAAAAAAAAAAGTCGATAGAAATACTACATTTTGTCTTTTTTTTTTTACAAGACAAAAAATTGAAAACAAAAAAGAAAAGAATGCATACATACACATTAAGACCTCTTACTTTTTGAATATTCACTATTTTATTTTATTATATATATATTGAAAAACATATAAATAATATTCTATGATTAAGGAATAAAAAGGATAAGAGAGCTGGATTGTAATTCAAACTATTTTCCCAATAATCCTAGTCACAAAACAACACAAGAAATCTACCAAAACAAATTGAAACTTGTTATTCTCAAACTATATATATAGGTCGACATACATGCACGAATACATACAAATATACAGTTATAAATATGAAAACTCAGCCTCACCAAAGCTTGGATACATCCATGGCTACATCACAGAGCATCCAGCAGAGTTCTCATTTTCGTCGCCGCCAAACATTTGATCGTACGAATTCAAATATGTTGGCGGTGGCGGGGGAGGTGGCCCTTGCACCGAATAGCTTTGATGATGATGATGATGATGATAGGAAGATAAGCCGTAGTCGTCTTGGCTAACAAAACCTTGATTGTCCACGGCAGGAATCGCGTAGTATGTTTGTGGATTATAAGTATGGTACTCCGTCTTGTTCATGTTCACTCCAACCATTGGTCCCTCTTCGCCACTTTTGATTCCCTCTACGCCTTCTTTTTTGTCTTCATTGCTCTCCTCTTTTTTCTTACTATCACCTTCCTCGATTTTGTTTTCCTTTTTCTCTCCTTCTCCTCCATTTTTAGCTTTCGTTTCTTCAACAACATTGTCGCCTTCTTTCTCTTTTTTCTTGTCTCCATTATTTTCGATTTTATTGGGAGGAGGAACAATTTCTACGCCTCTTTTGAGCTTCTCTTTCAAGTACGGTGCAATTTGTTTCGTGTCCATTGTTCCAATCACGGTGACCAAATCCTTTCGCAAATCCGTTGTAACTGAGTTAACCCCTACAAACAATATATATACATATACAAATAAGTTTTTGGTTAACTTGAGTAACATCCATGGTGGATCGATATCATCGTATGTAAATGTTCTTCACCATATGCTCTAAGCTAGCCTTATCATGTACAAGTCATTTCATTCTAAACTAGTAATAATAAAGTCAAGCTCTATTCTTTAATCTTTTTTTAATATGCAATTTCGATTGTTTACAATAAATATACAAAAGATTAACTCCAACAAAAAAGAACATCCTACATCAAAATTGGGATTTAAGACCACCTAAATATAGAATATTTATAAAATCACAGACACACACACAGAGAGTTAGAATTAGAAATAATGAATGCAAAAGATAATTGTGGGAACTCACCATCAATGTTCTTCAATATGACCCTTTTTATCTTATGTGCGCATCCACCACAGTGCAGTTTGATTTTCAGCACCACAGCCTGATCAAGAACAGCAACAACCACACACACACACAAAAAGGGAAACTAGATCAACCTATCAAGATATATGATTCCCAATCAATCAATGAAAAGTTCAAGAACTTGCACATTCAACTAATTAAGAAATTACTTACCTCCTTGGGTAATTTCTGATCACCATTGGTACCCTTCTCATCCTCCTCTGTTTTCTCTTTAGTTTCCTTCTCGTCGCCTCCGCCGGTCTTTTTTGGCTGTGGACAGGAGATGAGCTCCACCTTCTTCCTGGTCTTGCTCTCAACTCTCTCCCGGAGCCAAAAAGGGTCCACATTCCCCACCACAGTTAATTTCTTGCCAACACAGTCAGCCTTCACTTTCACTACACCTTTATAAATTGGACCACAACAATAATTTTCAGGCCCTACTGATTAGCTTTATGATTGCTCAATGTGCAGAGATAAAGCAAAGGTCGCATTTAAACATCATATCTGCTCTCAAATAAATAAATAATAATAAGCATAGATTATTTATGGCGATGGAACTTTCTGGTTCTGGACTAAGTAGATTTGTAAATCAACTCATAGTTTTGTAAATTAAAATTCGTGCTATGTTAAATTTGAGCATATAATGGAGAGTAAAACTTTCGATTTGACATGGGAAACAGTTTATCGATTGCTAAATTTCGGAGAGTAAAAGCTGAGGATAATTTCCATAGCTTTTTCTATGATTCACCTAAGGATTATACCCAATATTAATGGACAAACCAACTGTGTACGAATCGGAAATGAAATAGATCAAAATTTACCCTCTAACTGGCTGATGGATCGCGTAACTTTCTTCGCACAGCCTTCGCAATGCAAGTCCATCCTCAACACGACGGTATTCGGTTCCTCCTCCTCCTTTTTCCCGCCACCTCCTGCCGTTTTCTTCTCCCCGCCGCCTTCCTTCTCCACTGCACCATTTCTCTCCACTTTCTGAGATAGTTAAGAATAAAATCCAAAAACCGCAAATGATTGAACAAACTATAAATTATGCTTCGCACAATCCATCGCCGAATTCATAACTGGAAGAAGATTAACGACCTACCTCAACCGTTTGCGCCATTTTTCCTCAAAGCTCAACCCGATTGTTTGAAGCGTGAAAAATGGAGGCAACAATCCGAATTTATAGATGCTTAAATTTAAATTATATATACAGATTTTATTGAGCATGATGTACGTATGTTAGGTTTGCCCTCCGGGCCGGGTCGAGGCCCGGCACAGGATACGAGCATGAATGTTATTCCCCCAATCACAATTAAACACGTGTTCGAGTCAGGTAATACATATATGTTTTAAAAATTTTTAACAAATTTTTTAATTTTGAGTACTGAATATAATGTTTTGTAAAATTAAAAATATATTGAATGTGAAATTTGAAAAAAAAAATTCTAGTAATATTAGCGTTAAAAATTATAAAATATAATATATTTATTCAAGAAGGTCAAAACTTAAGTACTATTATTGTAGTTATATTGTAAGAGTGTGATTAGTATACAAGATTATACTTTCTCCGTTCATTTTTTTGTTGTTCTAAAGTATATTTGTATGATTTTTTTAGGTAATTGTTTTTTTAGTATAAATTGACGAATTTATCCTTTATGATAAGATAAAGATTAAAAATAATAAATGAATGAAGGGTAAAAATATAAAATTTGTGTTTAAAAATAAATATAGGACAATAGTTATTAAATCGTCTCAAATAAAAAAATAGGACATTAGTTTGTGGACGGAGGGAGTAGTAGATAATATTATTTTATTCTGTCTTAATTTAATGTTATTTTATCCTGTCTTAATTTAATGTTTATTTTAATGTATGAAATTGACATAATTATGAACTCAATACAATAATAGAGTTTTGTAATATTATTAGTATTGATCTTCCACTAATATTATTTAATCACACTTAATAAAATTTCTAATTAATAACATTTCACATTGTGTTGGTTTGGGAGTTTGGATTTTGAGTTGGGATTTGAATAGTAAAAATTTTGAATTTGAATAGTTGTATGATGTGATATAAATAGGTGTTGATATGATGTTTTGAATGTAAAATTGATTTTTAGTATAATATAAAAAATAAAAATTAGGTGTTTGATTTGATGTTTTTGGAGAGAAAAAATGAGATGAATAATGTATTTAAAATTCAATCCCCAAACAAACACACATCTTACATAAATAGGATAATATTTAATATTTATTTGAAATGTATTTTTATTTGACTTTGAAGTGTAATTTGATTTTTTTAAATAAATAAATAAAAATTATACATAATACAATTTGATATGCGTGTTTGACAATTAGCTGATAGTTGTTAGCTGATTCAATTAGTTGATAGTTGTTAGCTGATTCAATTAGCTGGTTTGACTAGCTGATTCGATTAGCTATATTTTAATTCATCTTAATTTACCCCCAAACCTACCCAGATACTCACATCGCATTTGTCTTATTTCTCTCTTCGCGATCTGGAAAATCTTACCGTAGAAGTCGACGCCTTTGTCTGCCGATGTCATCGCACCGCCGTGTGCCGTTGATTGTTGCTCCGACTCCGAAGGATCGACACCCTATCCCCACCGTGGTTTCTCGCTGCCCTAATTGTGGGTATTCTCCAATCGAAAACCCTAAATCGCCTAACAACGCCCCCCTTTTTTGGTCTTTACTCCGGCAATGGTGATTTGGTAATTTTCTCTGGCGAAAAGCTTGGTGAGTGCAAAGACAATGGTGGGTGGGTGCCAGACGCGGAAGAGCCCCTCGATCTTGGACTAGATCTTGAGGTTAGTCCTCCGATTTGCGAAACCACGCCTACAACTACTCCTCGTCCTCAAAGTTCGTCGGTAAAGGACAAGGGGTTGGAAGGCGGCATTGGAGTCCCCACCGAAGCTGGCGATATTTGGTTTGAGCTTGGATTTGTCCCCGACTCAGAGGATGAGGACGAGCACGAGTACGATTTGGAACCTACCATTTACCTATTCCGATCGTCCCTACAAAAACGTCCCTTTAAAGGACGTTGGTGAGATCTAAATCATACTTTTCTCGTATTTGTGGGTTGTTGGATTAAAATATGAGTATATTGCAATTCTTGCCTGAATAAGTTGTTAGGGTTTGATTTTGCTATCGGTTGACTTTGATTAGAATTACTGATGTTTTCACATGCTCGTGAATGCCTTAATTGTCTTGTTATTGTTGATTCTCTTGGTTTTGAACATTCTAAGTGTTATGTTATTGTCGGATCGCATTATGCATGTCATTTCGGATAGTGATTCTTGTACATATACTCAAAGTGAATATGTTTTCATTTATGAACTCAGATTCTTAAGCATGAACTCGAGTTAAAGTTGTGAAAACAAATATTTTTTGGTGGCTTGCATTTCATCATATAACATTAACATTATGTGCCTAAATACATACTGCTTCATCATTTTATAAATCATTCTTACAAAACATTTACAAAATAACCTGTTTTGATATATTTTCACAAGTGTAGTAACCTTTAATTACTTACAAAAGTTTTATCATTCACATATTGCTATCTCTAATAACCTAGGTCATGCATAACCTTTTCAATTCCATTGGTAGCCCATTTTTCTATTAGATACTGAATGCATTCATGCACTAATTGCATTGAAACAGTTAGTTGATTTGGAAGATTCCCAACTCTCAACAAGCTCTCCTTTTTCAAATGCAGGAGCTTGTAAGAGTTTCCTCCTTTTACTTTCATTATTTAAATCATACAATTTTGTAAACTTAAAAATACCTTATTTAAACATTGTGGTGTCAATTCTTTGAAGCTGGAATCTACAGCATCTAGTAGTTCAGTGACACTTTTGTATAACTTTTCAGTTTGCAAGGTTTGAATTGCACAAAACCATCCTAGATCATTTACATTCATGTATGGAGAGTTTGGTGGTTGTTGGATAAGAACTATGTTGAAACCATCTGTATTTGCCGTACGAACAAAGTCTGCATCATCACCTTTAATATATGGTTTTGCATTGTCTTGTTGTATCAATATGTGTTTCGAGAAATTGGGTGGCCACTTCTCTTTTATGGCTAGGATAATCTGTATATAGAAATTAGACACATAAATTGCATACATAAGTCTGCATAGATTCTGTTATTTTGAAATGCAACAATGAATTAGAGAAACTGGTTTAGAATAGAAGACATCAAAACTATGTTTCTCACACTCCATATCTCTTATGGCAAATAAAATTTACCTGATTAATTAAACAGCTTTTAGTAACCTGTTTTGTCACAGATTGAACTGGTTTAGTCTCTAAAGTACCGGCCACTCAATTTTTGCTTGATCTTTTGGTCGGAACTTGTTCTGTGAATGGAAAAATTCCTATTTTCCCATCAAATAATAAATTCTCATATTGATCCCAAATAGGGCGTGAAACAGCACACATGAACATTACTTTTGTAATGAATTTTTTGTTTTTGCAAGCTCTATCTGGATCCTGTTCGTTAGGAGTCAAGTAATATCGATTGTGGCCTTTGTCATATAGAACCATTTCTCATCAATGTGTACTACATTATGCATATTTTGAAAAGATGCATTTTCAATACACCTATGAACATCTAGGGCTTGTATTGAAAAAGACAACCTTGCGAGTTTGTTAACATCAGTGAACTCTGGCCTGATTGCACTTATATGCGGCCTAATATGCTTATCTTTTATCCATCTGTGGACAGTTGATTTCGATGTTTGTAGGCCCTTTGCCATATTTCTAATAGAAGATCTTTGCATCAACGGTAGACTTTCTATTTCATTCAAATTTGGTGTCATCTTATCTTTTTGGACACATGTTTCTTCCTATTTATACTAACAGCCTCACCTTTTTTAATTTGCTCTTTTGCAGCTTTCCAATGTCTTCGCACTGTCCGTACAGAACAGTTGAACCATCTTCAATCCTTCGTGGCATGTTCCTAGCAAAAATTGAACCATCTTGTTCAATTCTGCAATGGTAAGAACTTTTTTTGTCGTTGAGGTAAGAAGTGGTGTTTAGTGATTTAATGTGGCTTGATTCTGTGAAAGTAAAAATGAAAATTCATACTGATTGTTGTATTTATTGGTTTATGATTCAGACAATATTTAACACGGATTGGAGGGAAACTTTCAGCTTGTTTTGTCATGGTTTGGAAAGAATATTTTATCCTAAAATTTGACATGTTTTTATGTATCGAAACAGGCTATGTGTGTTAGATGGTAGATATGTGAGATTTTGGTATGTAAATGTATTAAGTGTACTGATTTTGATTAGATTGTTAGTCTTTTTTTTTTCTTTTTTTTTTTTAACTTTTGGACTGCACAGCCATGTGGGCCTTTTTAATTTTTGAATGTAATTTATGTTTTTTTTTTTTTTTGTTAATTCATCTCTTAATATTACACTAACTAATTATCCCCACATAAATTCCCGTGTATACAGGAACGTGAACACATTTTTTGGGACGGAAGGAGTAAGTCTTATTATAATAAAAATTAATAAAGTAATTATAAAGATAATAGAAAAATGATTCTAATTATGACTTAACGATGGTGTTTGGATTTTCCAACAAAATAATGAAATATATTTAATTATAAATAAGATTTATAATGTAATATTTCCTCCGTTTACCAAATATATGTTTATTTGGATTAAATACAAATGCAAATGGATAAAATATAATATTATATTATTTTATTGTAATATAATTAGAGATGTTTTTAAAAAAAAAGTATTCGAGTGAGTTATTGAAGTAAGAGAAACTTTTTGATCGATTGAGTGTGTAAGTAGTTGTAGTATTTTTGTAAATATGTGTAATGTTGAAGGGTGAAAGAGTATATAAAAGTTATTTGCTATAAATGTTGTATATTTTGTAGACAAATAAAAAAATAAAAACGGACATAGATTTGGTGGACAAAGATAGTATATTCAAATTTATATTTTAATTGAATATATTTAATAATAAACTACTTTCGTTCGGCTCTAAGTGTCTCATTTACTTTTTGTATGTTGATATTTGTATTATATGACAACGTAATACAAATTAAGGAAAAATGAAAAAAAAAAAAAAACTTCTTTTAGTGTTTTATAATATTATTATAATAATATTTGTGCAAAAAATTATATATATATAAAAATATGTTTAATATTAAATATAATAATGCAAAAAATAAATAAGACGGTTAA